TCTCTCTATATTCTAAATACTAATCATTTGCAAGGTGTACATATCTTTTAGTTTTTCATTCTTCAGTCTCTTTACAGTGCCTTTTGAGGAACAAACATATGATAATTTCCATCCTTTTATTTACGAAACGGAGTCTTGCTCTGTTACCCAGGCTGGAGTGCAGTGGGGCAATCTTGCCTCACTGCAATCTCAGCCTCCTGGTTCAAGTGATTCTCCTGCCTCAGCCTCCCAAGTAGCTGGGACTACAGGCACGTGCCTCCATGCCTGGCTAATTTTTCTATTTTTAGTAGAGATGGGGTTTCACTATGTTCATCAGGTCTTGAACTCCTGACCTCAGGTGATGCGCCTGCCTCGGTCTCCCGAAGTGTTGGGATTACAGGCGTGAGCCACTGTGCCTGGCCCCATTGTTTTTTTATTCATCTGTTATTTTCAGGTGAATTTCTTGCAGCAGTATTTAACCATATTCATATTCCATTCAGAGAGGCTGTCTTTTAATAGATGAATTTAATCCAATCACATTCCTCTGATTACTCAAATGTTTGAACTTAGTCCTGCCAACTCATATTATGTTCCATATTTATCATGGTTTTATCTTTTACTCATTCCTGTTTTTTTTGTTGTTTTGGTGCTGTCATTTTTCATTTCACTTTTTCCTCAGCTGTTTTGAAAGTGGTATATTCTTTTCCCACCATTCTTGTGGAAACTTTCTGATAGTTTAATTTTTCTTTTGAGACGGAGTTTTGCTCTTGTTGCCCAGGCTGGAGTGCAATGGCACCATCTCAGCTCACCGTAACCTCCACCTCCCAGTTTCCACCAATTCTCCTGCCTCAGCCTCCCAGGTAGCTGGGATTACAGGCATGTGCTGCCACACCCAGCTAATTTTTTTGTGTGTGTATTTTTAGTAGAGATGGGGTTTCTCCATGTTGATCAGGCTGGTCTTGAACTCCCGACTCAGGTGATCCGCCTGCTTTGGCCTCCCAAAGTACTGGGATTACAGGTGTGACCCACCATGCCCAGCTAAAATTTTTAACCTTTTTTTCTATTGATTCTAAAATCCTCAAACCAAACAATACAAGAGCTTTCGTGCACTTTCACTTCCTTCTGCGCCCGGCCTTGCCATGTGTCATGTTGAGCTCATCTGGGATTTCTCTCAGGTTGATTTTAACAGACCAGACTGATTTATTTGCTAGCATCCACGTCTTACTCTTGAGTCCACTTTTCACTTTGTTAAGGTATTTCTTCTAGTACTTTTAGAGACTGCGTGTGTGGTAAACATGGATGTTTACAAGCCGTGAAGACACCTTTATTTTGCTGTCTCACTGGAACGCTAGTTTCACTGTGTATGAGTTATGGTTCAATTCTCTTAGTATTTTGGCAACCCCTCCTCTGTAGGATCAGTCTGAACTCTAAAAAAGATCCTTTCTCTCTCTCCGAAGGCCTTCCTGAGTCTCCCTCTGACACGCCTACATTCGAGGCTTTGTTCTTCACTCCTCTGAGCATCACCTCCATTGTCTGAGAAGTCACTGTCCCCGTCTCTCTCCTGTTCTGTGAAGGGTTTCGTGTCTTTTCATCTTCTCTTTCATGAGACTGTGTCTTACTTTCACTCTGCGTTGTGGAAAACCTCCAGCTTGTTTCCATCTGGCTTCCCTGAGGTGGAGGAGAGAAGAGTTCCGGCTCAGCTTGCTTGTTTGGCCACAGGTAAACAGACATCAGTAGAATGGAGGTGACACGAAGCTCCTGGGTCTCGTGCAGAAGAGGTCAGGGCCCCAGTGGCCTGCACCCTCTCGGCTCAAGGGTGTGTCTGCAGGGAGTCCTAGATCAGGACTGACCACTAGGGACCTTGGCTGGGGTCCTACCTGCCCTCAAGTCTTCACATCACAACCCACGCACGGTGCCATGGGCATGAGGGCTGGCCAGGAAAAGGCCTGTGGGGCTTTGCCCCATCAGGGACACCTGGGTGAACAAAGCCACCCCACTCCCAATAAGGTGTTTGATGCAGTGCCCTGAGCAGTGGGGCCGCTCCGCTGCCCCATGGGGAAGGTCTGTCCCAGGGTGGACAGCTGCTCCGCCCCAGGGGCCTGCCTAGATGCCACAGGCTGGGCTGCTGGAACCCAGGGATTCCACAGCACCATCGTCCTGATCACAGATTCTCAAGGAAACCAAGGAGCTCCTGCCTCACCTTAAAACATTTTGGGACTTAATCTTGGAGTGAAAATTGTTATGACCCCACTGAATTTTAGAGTTTACACAAAAGGCCAAAGCGAAGGCAGAGACTCAGGCCTCTCAACTCGCGCCCGCAGGGGCCTTTTCTTGCAACCTCAAAGGGCATCTGCTTCAGGACGGACTCGGCAGGGCCCTCACACTGGCAGAACTACTTGCACACCTGGCCTGACACTCACTAGGGGAGGCTCCCCAGCCCGGCTGCACCACCTTCCCCTACTTAGTCAGGTGCCCCGGCCAGTGCCCCTTCCACTTCCACCCAGTGGGCCCACAGGGTCCCCTCTGCCCACTTAGGGCCCTCCACTCTGGGGCCAATCGCCCCCTGCCTCAGGGCCCTCCACTCTGGGGCCAATCGCCCCTGCCTCAGGGCCATCCATTCCTGGGCCAATGCCCTTCTGCCTCAGGGACCCCCACTCCCGGCCGGTACCCCCCTGCCTCAGGGCCCCCGACTCCCGGCCGGTACCCCCCTGCCTCAGGGCCCCCGACTCCCGGCTGCTCCCCAACTGCCTCGGGTCCCCCACTCCTAGGCCTCTCCCCTTGCCTCAGGGCCCCTCATTCTCCATCCTCCTGACCTCCTCAGGGACCCTCTGGCCCGGTCCTCCCTAACTCAAGGGCCCCCACTCTCCATCCTCCCGACCCCCCACTCCCAGCCCGGTCCCTGCCGCCTCAGGGTCCCCACTTGGCCCCAGCTCCTCGCGACGCCCCCTCCCCCGCG